GAAAATCCGAAAAAACGAAAAAAATACCACGCACGATGTATTTAATATAAAAACTATAAATAAAATATATTTGGTAGATAAATATTGTGTATTTTATACATTAACGGCGGTGTTTTTTTTTTCATTACTCCCCCAAAAACTCTCGTCTTGTATACCGTCTAAAGTACACCATTTCTAAAAAGCGAATCCAAAGAAAAGAATAAAGGGGCTTTTTAAAGACAGTTCAATACTTGCGGGGGAGAATGGCAACTATGGTATTATTATATATGTTATATATAGTGGACGGTAACTTAAAACTTTTTTTTTTTTTTGATAAATGGTTATCTTATACGAAATACAATGGAATGTTAAAGCCGTAATGTTATTTAATAATAATAACACTACTTCTTTAATAGTATTTATTTATTTAACTTAGATTCGATTTTTACGTCATAACATTTGTTTTAATGATTGTTACAACTGGTTTTTAATAATAACTCTATACACTGAACATGCAGAGTTAGAATCGAAATGCCAGGAATTCCGGGAAAAATTGTTTTTTTTCTCTGTCGTTTCAGAAAAAAATTATTTCCAAAAATAAAACTCTTAACAAAAAAAAAATGTTTAAATTGATGATTAAATGGTTTTACAGTTTATAGTATATATATTATAGTGTTTCTTTAAAAACTACAACTTTAACTATGTTCGGAAATAACCTAAAAGAAAAATTTTAATTCAAACAGTTTTTTCATTAGAAAATATATGTTTTTGGGCTAGTGGTCGGTCGAAAATATGCGAGACATTTTTATTGTAATGCAAAAAATAAGACGCAATGTGTATGTTTTCGTTGTAAAAACATAATTGAGATTATAGATTATTATAGATTATTTAATGGGACTTTTCCATAGTTTGGAACCTAATGATCCAATTGTTACTGATAACAAACTGATAAGAAAAGCATGACGTGGGCACTACAATCGTCTATATTAACCATAAAACACATCCTAGATTCGTGTTTTCCGTATAGCGAAGAAAATTAATTTAAAAACCTTTTTTTGTCTGCTGCAGTAGCACAGCAAGTTTCCCTATTATCTATACTCTAGAATAACAACCTATTTATAGACAATTAATATACTTGAGAGATCTTACGTATTTTTTTTTCTTTCACAAGAACAGCTTCACGTGCCTCCATATTTGTTCGTATTATAAGCGATATACCTATATATAATAAATTATATTTTCTAAAATATTTTTATTATTTTACAAAACGTAAGAAGACAATATATCTCCCAATGTAGATTTTATTTATTTGCATTCTATATCATTGTTATGGTTGGTTTAAGCAAACAGCGTGAAACCATTAGGGAAAAAAGATCTTTTTTTTTTTTCGTGAAAGTTAAACTTAAAGCGTTAATGTGAGGGCCCGACGGCTATTCCGGGGTAAGGAATTTAATATTCATGAACTCGATAACAAAAATATATATATGGCGATTTCAAAAAAAAAAAAAAAAAAAAAAAAAAATGAATACCTATTCAGTGATGGAAAACGAAGCGCAGTTTATATCGCCGAAATGTATATAATGTATAGTAACAGAAAAAAGGTTTTAAAAGGTTTTATGTTAATAAGATGATAAAATTAAAAATAATAATAAAAAAAAAAAAAAAAAAAAAAAATGTAAAACCACGTCAAATGTTCAGATTTGATTGCAGATTAAGTGTGGTGGTCCACGACCCCGATTCCTTACGTTCATATATTACAAGTTTGGCGGCGACAATACCGTAAATAGCCGATGGGGGAGATTTGTCTTTCGTTTTTATTGCTTCCTTAAAGATTTATGACGCCGTACAGATCCGATTTCCGAAACCGCTAACGCGGTGGTTGCACATCCTCCGGTATAAACTATAGGTAGGTTATATAGAAAATTATAAAAACCAATGACCGATGCCTATCTTTAATGTAATAAAACAAGACTCGGATAAGAAATCTTTATTGGTTTTATATGTAAATCAGTCTATATAAAATACATCACGTGTATGAATATATGTATATTTATAATCTTTACGGATTTAAAAGTCCATTAAAAATAGCACGCAATATTTATTAAATATTTATACGTATTAGGCGATAATTAACTGTTTTTGTTTTGTTTTTTTTCTAGTTTCGGTTATATTTACTTCAAATAAAAATAAGTATCCGATACAAATTTACCCGTGACCAACACATATTCGGTTTTAATTTATATTAATTATCGTTTTTTTAGTACATAGATCGCATATTAATTGTGTACAGGAAAAAAAAAAAGAAAAAGAAGACCTAAAAATAAAAGCAGCATACACCGCGCTCGCAGACGAGACCGTATCGTGTCTAGTACACCGCGATCCCCTCTTAGCGTCCCGTAAAGTCTTGCCCGGCGGAACGGCGCCTAGTAACCGGCACTGAACACGAACGTGTGAATTCGTCACGCATTGTGTCGCCAAAAACCAATCGGTCAAAAACGATTTGTCATTTCGATCCGGATCGAACGTGTGCCGCCCGAACACTTTTTTGAAAATTGTATACTTTTTCGTTAGATTTCAAATAAGAGCGCACCGTGCGGTGCGGACTATAACCGGTAAAATTGTCTTTTTCTTTTTTTTTTTTTTCTGCAAAAGGAAATTTAAAAACGCTCGTGTTGTAAATGATCGCACGCGGAAAAAAAAGTATTTCAACGCATAATGTATACAAATGATTTAAAATCAAACCGATACAATATCAAATAATTTAGAATGTCATTCGTTCATCTTTGCGTTATACCTAATAAATGTCGTATGGTTTTAATGTGTGTCTGTACATAGACATTAAAACGCTAAGGCGCTTACAGCCGTCTACGTACCGAAACATTAAACATGATTTATTTTAGAAACAACCACGACCTATAAAACAACAGTGACAACAAGCACAATTGCCAGGTATGTGTATGTATATGTACGGGAAGAACCAAATACAGTAACCCGCTTACGGTGTCTGCAAGACTACAAACAGCTGCCGTACAGGCTCGGAGGAAAGGTGCGGCGGAAATGAATGGGAAAAAAGCGAGTGCTATTGCCGGGCGAACCCGGAAAAGTGAAAACTTGGGTGACGCGTCCGGCGCCTTTATGCCCTACGCGGTCTCACATTCGAGTGACTCCCACTTGACCGTCACGACAGCTAAAAGAAGGGTGGCCTCTGTGTGGGCGACATGCGTAATTAATATTGTGAACTATAGTGCGGCGCACTAAGGTGGCAACACTGATCAAGAAATGTTATTTGCGGTGGAACTGGTAATTGCACTGACGTACTGTATCACCTTGTTCGTTTATTTTACGAATATTTAATGCATTGTACACACGTCGAGTATTTGCAACCGAGTTTTCGAACGAACACGTCACCGCGGTCAATGTACGAGTTTCGAAAAAAAATTAAGAATTTATTACAAAATTCGCGTTTGTGTTTTTGATATCGTGCCCCCTTGATATTTACACGGGCTGCTTTTTTAGAAAAAAAAAAAATAAAACAAAATTAAACAGTAAGAATAGTTGTATGATTTGATATTTGTTGAACGATGTTTGTATATGCAAGATGATTTTCATTTGAACGGTGTTACAATTTGAGTACAATGATTCTTGATCAATACTGAGTTATGACTTACAATTGTAGTGGTCAGTAGATCTTAATATTTTGTTAATATCTAATGTTGCGTAATATTAATTGATTATGCAATTTGTAAACGTTTCAGTAATACATATATATTTCTTAATTTTCGTAAGAAGTCCGAGCTGCAGCCATATGTAACTCGATGAAATTAACATAATATAATCAGTAACTACCCGTGCTTTTGCTGTTAGATTAAGGAACTCTTATATTATACTAACACTGACACCTATCCACGACATATGACGATCTGTAAATTTAATGTCAAAGATACTATTGCCTTATGATAAACTATTCAATATATGGCATTATTTTTTTTTTAAACCAATTATGAATTTGCCACGATTAGGACGTGGATTAAAGTATTAATCACAAATTAAAATTAATTCGTGGTAGTAATGTCTAAAACTAAGGTAATACATAATAATAAGAACATTGATCCGATAGATAGTAAAACGTGTGCATGACTATTCCCTGTTCGATTAAGGAGAGTACGGATTCTGATACTCTGAACGTGTAACAAAATGGTAACGCGCTCTAACGGTTTAACGGATAGACCATACTAATGTTCAGTAATCACAATTGTGTTATTATTTATTTATCAGTAGTTGTGCAATTCCGCAAATAGAGTACGCCGCGGTCGTTCGCTCGTCTTTCGTTTGGCAAAAATCGGAAAGGGCGAAGTGTTGCGCTCTATTAATATAATTATTTTTATGACGTCATTGAAAGCCACGAACCACGTCCGTTGATATTATGGTGGTTAATAGTGATTATTATAATTGACCATTTGGTAATATATTATTTAAAAAAAAAATATAAATAATATTTACGTATGGTGTGTACCGTTGATCATAAATACCGTAGATCGTTCGCCGGCCGGTTTATCGACGGCGCGCCGTTAAATATAACTACCGATTGATGGCAATATGATTATTATTTTTGTGTACGATTTGGCTCATTGTTACAAGTTCGAAGAAAACCGGTTTTTAATCAATCCCACCGTTGCCCGCTGGTGACAAATGACCGTGTAATTACAACCGTACCGAATAAACATTGTTATTTCTTGTCGATTTTTTTTTTTCCGTTTGAAATTTTATTTTAATTTGCGTTTTTTAATGTCATTACGTCGCTTCGTCTGATGGTGTTTTCAAATCCCCGTTAATTACACCATTGTTCATTTTATTCAGTATCAATAATTCATTTTTGTCATTGACTGTATCATTATTTTTTTATTAATTTCAACAAGCAGATGTTACAGTTGTAAAAATCCAGACATTTTTTTTTTTACCGAATAACCAGCAAAATATACAATTGAACATGTTTCTAATGTCGTTATTTCCCCTACAATGTGTCAATTTGAAGACAAATTTGAATTTGAATTTGATAAAAACGTACTATCTAATTCATCAAGTACTTCTACTACTGGATTATTCTCAATAATTGGTTTTTCGTTAGTGGAAATATATGATAGAACATCAATAGTTAAATAACCATCATTGTCGTCTTCACAGATGCGCAATTCTGACCATTTCCTAAGGCCAAAACTACAAATTAATGCTGATACTGTTCTGTTGAAAATTTGAGTTGCACACCTTACTTTCATTTTTTGCCACGTATTCGGATGTAAATGAGTATTTGGTATTTTGGACATTGAACGAGGTGTTTTACTATTTATATCAGTTTCAAATGTATCCACGATAAATTTGAAACAAATTTGTTTATTGCCAATTTGTGTATCACAATTTATCAAGTTGTAGCGTAAGCTTTTTATTAGATACATCGAGAACATCGTAAATCAGACATAACTGCTTACCGTTAATGTCGACTATTGGGTCTATTTTAGTCCCTCCAAGTAAGTCAAACATCCTACGATTTTGTGATCACACACAATACCAACTACAATTAAACCAACATCTTCCAGTTTTCTCAAACATTCCGTCATTATTTTAACTAGTTCTGATCCTTTTATGCCAGACCCGCTAAAACAAAATGCAAATGGAATTTTCAATTTTCATAGATGTCCTGGATCATTATTACTAATGCATTTTTGGACACTATAACTGATCGTCCAAATTGTCCCAAATCTTGATAGCCTTCTATAAAATCAGTTGATTTGTTTGAATTCCTGACATTTCATTAAGGTAACTTCGTCCAATAAAACAACGCATTTCTTTTGACGGTTATTCATTGATAAAACTTTATACTTCACTTGTTGAAAGAACTCGTTTGAAAAACCAGCAGAATAATTAACACCTTCTAACCAACGTCTCGTGATGCTTTCGTCAGATAAGGTTATGTTATTCTTACGAATATATTTATATGTTGATGGAGATTTATAATAAATTGAAAATGTTGAAAAATAAATTCAACAATGTTTATTTTTAAATTTGTGATTATAGCGTCAGCGGGTAGGTAGGCGGGAGCCTACTACTAGCGATTGTAACGTTACTCGCCGGAACTAAATATGTGATCGCAGCGCTTTACAGCGGTACACGACAATCGCCGCGCCGTCGAAAAGCCTGCCATTGAGTAATCCGTACTATTTATAATCAATGGTATATGCGGATAGGTGTGTGATAAATAAATAGTCGGGTTCACAGTTCTCACTCGAGTATTTTTATTTATTAATTAATAATATCAATATAATTATCAATAGATAGTACCCAAATAGTTTTATATTACCTATATTAATTAGTAATTTAGTTGTAGGAAGTGACGAATTTTGATAATTTTGATTCCTTCCTTCTTTTATTGGTTTCAATTTGGCAGTTTTCATCCTTTGTACTGATGGAATTTCTCCATACAAAAGTTTAGGAACTTCAAGACGTATTATCTAGATAGCAATTTATCATTTGTAAAAGAAATGGTAATAATATAGGTACACTGAAATAATACACTCATAATTTGCATTTATTTTCATCTTCATCAGATTCCCAAGTAGACTTTATGTCATTCTCCTTTAAATGCGAAGCACACAACCAATAGCTTTTTTTAAGAACAGTTTTCGACGCATTTTCCTATTTATTTTTTTTTTTATATCCATTTTTAGGGACTTCGAAAGTGATTTTTGAAACTTTATGTTGATATTTTACACGACAATTAGCCATTTTCAAAAATTAAATTACATACTACTACTGCTGTTTTAATTCGTATTTAACATGTAAATTTGCGCGGGAAAGCTAGTACGTCATAACGGTCTGCATTATGTCTATGGCCGAGGTACAAGTTCTATTAAATACCGTAGACGACACGATAGGATCGCCATTTTAGTCACGTGACTTTTTAATAATATTCCGGCTCGGTGTATTGTGTTCTATAGTATAGATCGTTCCGCAATCATATTTTCTAAAGCCCCGGGGTTGCACCATAGACGATATAAGATATTATTATCTATCTTACATTATCTATGGGTTGCACAATGGCCACAATGTGATGTAACCGGTGGGAAGAACGTGTATTCTGTTCCCACTTGTTGCGGTCTAAACGTACAAATGGTCACACTCTTAGTACACTTATCTATGGTCACACTGATATTGTACCACCGCCACCGACGCGTTATCGCGTGCAACGGTTTACGCATTGTACAATGTGCCTCTCTGTATGTTGTGTCTCACTGTGTCGTAAACACAGTAAGTTAAAAACTTATAAAACTGCTCAAACCTTGAAGTGTAATTCAGAAATTTATAAAATTTAAATTTCAATCAAAACAGTCTGACCTTTCTAATGAATCTTCAAAATGGTAAGTATCATGTATCACTGTTCCTATGAATTCATAAATAATGCTAGATGAATCGCTGCGCTCAACGTCGATTGTTGACCATAGTTCTTCCTCGCTAAACGGGGAACTTCGAGCCTTTGACATAATCCAGGAGAATGGAGTAAATCATTAAAAATGTACAATAATTCTAAGCGCAGAAAAAATTATTTGTTACGATTAGGAAAAGTTGTCACAAAAATTGTATTATATTCAGTGATTAGTTTTTTAATGTGCATAATATACCCCGTTTTGCAATTTATAGTTGAAGTAGTTGTGTTATATTGTTGAAAGACAGTTCTGACTCTAATTTTGTTTGATTCATTTTTGAGGAACTATAGGTTTTAACATTATACTTCTCTGTTTGGGTTTTGCCAAGTGATAGGAAATTGTTGATAAAGGAATAAGTACACATTGTCTAAATATCAGTTATGTATTATGAGTCTTACCTATTATAATTCTATTATATCACATTAAAAACTTCATTTGCCATTAAAGTGATGACCAAATCGAGATAACTAAAAAATTAATCAAATATTTTTATTTTATGTACCTATCTGTGTTGTAATTTTTGGTAGCGTACACTGTTAACAGAATAAGTGCCTACCATAGAATAATAATAGCAGTATCCACCAAAATTCTCTAGGGAGGTTCGTAAAACATCGAGAAGTATTTAGAGGTATTAGTATTTTTTATTGCTTTCTGGTTTACCGTTCCTTCAGTGAACTAAATTCCAGTCATGACCCAATTAACAAAATGCAAAATTTATTAACATAAATAAAAGTTATTAGTCAACAAATTTTTGATGAGAAAATCATATCATAACTATCCATTTGTTCCTCATAAAACAATTTCCTCTTTTAGTTTTCAATCTAATGGGACACCAGATTAATTATTGATAATAAACATTATCGATCCATTGCCTTTCGCCCCAGCTATGTTAGTTGATTACCCATCAGATGTATTGAGTGAGAGGCAGTCAGAAGTAAAACATTTTTGTGACATATTAGATTGATCATCAGTGTTCTTAACTGTTACAAACAATGGAATTTACATTGTTGTGAGTTAAATATCGTTTGTCAGATATCAACAAGAAAATAACACCAATTATGCGGTTTGAAAATAACTACACTATAGCTAGAACTATTTATAGGCAAATTTATAGACACCATTAATTTAAATAAATTTTGATCAGTGTGACAATACATTTTTATTATATTTAATTATGAGAAAAAAATATTGAATTATTTTTTTGAACATTAAAAAGTATTGAATGATCAACTTTATAACTTAAATATTAACTAACTTAAAACAGTGACTTACCCAAAGTATGAAGATTAAATAATGCGAGCATAAAACAATTGTCTACTTGATAATATTATTTTAAATAAATTTGTGTAATTTTATTATAATAATAATAACTATTGTTTAACAGAGAAAATACTGTACTCGATAACAGAAACGACAATTTAAGTGTTGCCATTTTTTTTTTTATTTTTGTTCAATGATAGTAGCTATGAAAAATTAAGCAAAATTGTTGGGGAGAGTAAATGCTTTGAAATTAGCAGGGGTGATGGTTGAAAAATAGAGGTTGACATACATAATAAAAATAACTATTGATGACATATCAGTGAAAATTCTCAAACAATGGAAGTTTACTGTTTTATTATCATTGATAAAAAATTAGTTAAGTATATGAATTGTAATTTATTTTGTAGAGCTAAAATCAAGTGACACCCAAAAACATTTTGTACTCTAAAAATAATGGCGGCCAGTGACTCAAAAGCACCAATCCGAACTGTCAAACGAGTACAGTTCGGAATATTGTCAGCAGATGAATGTGTTAGTATACAAACTGTGTATTTTGTATTCATAACTCACTACTTAGATACCCTTTTATTATTTAATAAATTCTAATAAATATCCTTTAAAACTATAGCGTCGAATGTCTGTCACTGAGGGAGGCATTCGTTTTGCTGAGACGATGGAAGGTGGACGACCTAAGCTCGGTGGACTTATGGACCCTCGGCAAGGTGTTATTGATCGTAACTCAAGATGCCAAACATGTGCAGGTTAGTAAAAGTTCTGGTTAATTGTTGTTATATGTTATTTTAAATTTTTAAATTTCCAGGTAATATGACTGAATGTTGTGGTCATTTTGGCCATATTGAGTTGGCCAAACCAGTGTTTCATATAGGATTTATAACTAAAGCTATAAAAATTCTACGCTGTGTTTGTTTTTACTGTTCTAAATTATTAGTTAGCCCTGTAAGCATAATATTGCCTAAATGCTCTTATTTTAATAATACTTAATAATGATTGTAATAATTTTTTTATTTAGACTCATCCCAAAGTAAAAGAAATTGTTATGAAATCAAAAGGACAACAAAGAAAACGTTTAGCATTCATTTATGATTTATGTAAAGGTAAAAATATTTGTGAAGGAGGTGATGAATTAGATATTAATAAGGACAATGTCAATGATCCAAATTTGCCTGTGAGTTAGATAATAAAATATGTTTAGGAATAAAGGATTATCAGATTTATTTATTATTTGTGCTCTTTTTTTATAGCCAAAAAAACAAGGCCATGGGGGTTGTGGTCGTTATCAACCCACTATACGGCGTACTGGTTTAGACTTAACAGCTGAATGGAAACATGTTAATGAAGATTCACAAGAAAAAAAAATACCTCTAACAGCTGAGCGGGTTTATGAAATTTTAAAACATATAACTGATGAAGAGGTAGTGATAATGGGTATGGATCCTAAGTTTGCACGACCAGACTGGATGGTTTTAACTGTTTTACCTGTTCCACCTTTACCAGTTCGTCCAGCAATTGTGATGTTTGGATCAATGAGAAATCAAGTAACTAAATTTTTATCTTGTATTATAAAATATTTCTTCATGCATTTTTGTGTTATAGGATGATTTGACCCACAAATTGTCTGACATTATAAAATGTAACAATGAATTAATACGTAATGAACAATCTGGTGCTGCCACACACATTATAGCTGAAAATATCAGAATGTTACAATTTCATGTAGCAACTTTAGTTGATAATGATATGCCTGGTCTGCCAAGGTATAATTTAGATTTATTTTTAAATATAATGAATTAATAGCTATTGAAAATAAACTATTCTATTGTTTTATTTCTCATTCAAATATATCCATTATATCCTTGAAAATTGTTGAAATAATAATGTGTGTTGTTTTTGTAATTGTAATTTTATTATTTAATATTTAAACATGGATTTACTTATTTTATTTTGTTGTTTAGAGCAATGCAGAAATCAGGAAAACCACTAAAAGCTATTAAAGCTCGTTTGAAAGGTAAAGAAGGTAGAATTCGAGGAAACTTGATGGGAAAACGTGTAGATTTCTCAGCTCGTACTGTAATTACACCGGATCCAAATTTACGGATTGATGAAGTAGGTGTGCCTCGTACTATTGCTCAAAATATGACCTTTCCAGAAATTGTTACTCCATTTAACATTGATCAGTAAGTATCATGTGTATTATTATTAAGATAATCTTTTTAATATATATATATTCATTCTAATTTTGATATTTTTAGTATGTTAGAATTGGTTCGCCGTGGAAATTCACAGTATCCTGGTGCCAAATATATTATACGTGATAATGGTGAAAGAATAGATTTACGTTTTCATCCTAAACCTTCAGATTTACATTTACAATGTGGGTATAAAGTTGAAAGGCACATTAAAGATGGTGACTTGGTGGTATTTAACAGACAGCCTACATTGCATAAAATGAGTATGATGGGTCATAGAGTAAGAGTTTTACCTTGGTCTACATTTAGAATGAACTTAAGGTAAAAACTAATTTTTAATATTTATTTGATTAAATTTATGATAAAACATATTTGCGGTTTATTAGTTGTACTTCCCCTTATAATGCTGATTTTGATGGTGATGAAATGAATCTTCATGTTCCACAGTCAATGGAAACAAGGGCAGAAGTTGAAAATATTCATATTACTCCAAGACAAATTATTACTCCACAGGCTAACAAACCTGTTATGGGAATTGTACAAGATACTTTGACAGCCATCAGGAAAATGACAAAAAGGGATGTATTTCTTGAGAAGGTAATATGATAAAAATATAATATTGCTTTTTGTTATTATTTCCAAGCAATTGGAAAATAATTTTTCAGATTTATACATATTTTTGTCATATTAATCTTAACTTCTTTAATAATATATTTAAAATTAAAAATAAATATTTTCTATAATTTAAATAGTTTCTACACCATTTAGTAAATTAGTGCTCGTTAATAGTAGTTTTGATAATGAATTTACTATTATCTCTAAAATTTAAGTAGTGATTCATAAATTATAACTGGTTTTAAATTCCGAGTGTAATGAAGAAGCTATTTTATATTTGAACCAATAACTATTATTCCAAGTACATTTATGATGTATTTATATTAAGCTTAATATAGCATTTTAATTTATAATTTATATAAAGTACATATGATTTTTATTATTTTTCTAATTTTTAATTTGTTAGTGAAAATTATAACAAAACAAAATTATTAAAAAATTATGATAATTGTAGAACTTAAAAGAATTTTGATATTATTGAATTCAATACATTATAATAAAAAATGGTCATTAATAATAGCATTATATTAATTTTGTTTTTATCTCTAAAGCATAAGAAAATAAAATTGGAGGTTTCTTAAAGATTTTAGATTTTAATTATGAAATACCATATTAATTTTGAACCTTTAACTAAATATTAACATATATTTTATAAAACCAGTGCTCGTTAATAATAGTACTGTTTATAGTTTTACTATTATCTCCAAAACACTGGAAAAGAAATTAATCATTCAAGAGTATAATTGTCATGGTTTATTTTTTTTAAAATTAAAACCAAAAACTTATTATATTCTTTAAACATTAATTATACTCTTTTGTTAAACAAACATGTATTGTTTAAAATTGTAGAAGAGGTACTTTTCCATTATCTTATTAATTTAATAATTTGGATATTATTCATATTTTTAGAAAATTGTATATAACAATTATAATAGTTAATTTGGTTGATCTATGATACATAAAAAAAAATATTATTACATTAGTTTCATTCACTTTACATTTGGATCTATGATACATAAAAAAAAATATTATTACATTAGTTTCATTCACTTTACATTTGGTATTTCATTCACTTTACATTTGGTAATTGTAGAATAGTAATTTGGATAACATTTTATTAATTGATATGTTAAACTATAAACCAATGCTCGTTAATGATAGTATTATATTACTTTTGCTATTATCTCCAAAACATTGGAAAATAAAATTGGAGGTTCCTTAAGGATTTTATATTATAATTATGAAATACCATGTAAATTTTTAACCTTCAACAAAATATTAATATATATTTTGTAAAACCAGTGCTCGTTAATAATAGTACTGTTTATAGTTTTACTATTATCTCCAAAACACTGGAAAAGAAATTAATCATTCAAGAGTATAATTGCCATGGTTTATTTTTTTAAAATTAAAACCAAAAACTTATTATATTCTTTAAACACTTATTATACTCTTTTGTTAAACAAACATGTATTGTTCAAAATTGTAGAAGAGGTACTTTTCCATTATCTTATTAATTTAATAATTTGGATATTATTCATATTTTTAGAAAATTGTATATAACAATTATAATAGTTGATTTGGTTGATCTATGATACATAAAAAAAAAATATTATTACATTAGTTTCATTCACTTTACATTTGGTAATTGTAGAATAGTAATTTGGATAACATTTTATTAATTGATATGTTAAACTATAAACCAATGCTCGTTAATGATAGTATTATATTACTTTTGCTATTATCTCCAAAACATTGGAAAATAAAATTGGAGGTTCCTTAAGGATTTTATATTATAATTATGAAATACCATGTAAATTTTTAACCTTCAACAAAATATTAATATATATTTTGTAAAACCAGTGCTCGTTAATAATAGTACTGTTTATAGTTTTACTATTATCTCCAAAACACTGGTAAAGAAATGTATCATTCAAGATTATTATGGTCATGGTTTGTTTTTTTAAAGTAACCCCAATACCTATTATAGTCTTTAAACATTTATTTTGCCCCTTGAATGTTTAATAAACATAATATAATACCCCATATTCATATACATGATTTCTTTTTATCAGTGCATTAATATAAGATAGTACCTACTTTATTATTATATATTGATGATGGTATTTATAATTTATTTTTTAAGGAACAAATGATGAATTTATTAATGCATCTACCAATCTGGGATGGAAAAATGCCTACCCCTTGTATTCTTAAACCAAAACCAATGTGGACAGGAAAACAACTATTTTCTCTGATTATTCCTGGAAATGTAAACATGATACGTACTCATTCTACTCACCCTGACGATGAAGACAATGGACCATACAGATGGATATCGCCTGGAGATACAAAAGTACAATTTATAATTAATTAAGACTGAATGTTAGTTAATTTGTTTTGGCAATACAAATTATTATATAGATGACATTAATTTTAGATTCTGAGTATAATATAGAAACTATTAGTTTTACTAAGTGTTTTTTTCTTAGGCAAACACTTACAGTTATTAAAAATAATGATTTTTTGTCTGATGGTACTTTATTTGTAATATTTGTTTGAATTTAAAATACTTTTTTCAAAAAATTGCTTTTTGTCTTTTTTTATAATAGTTTTAATGAGATATTAATGATTTAATTTTTTATTAACAGAGTTACTTAAAATATATAAAATGTTTTTAATGAAAATAATTTATCAAAATGTTCAATAGTTTACCTAAAAATTAAAAATTTGGTTAAAACTGAAATAAAATAGTAGTTGATTTTTTAGATTTTTTATTTGGGTTTGGGTTCAGTTTTTGTTTTATGGATTCTGAGTAAAGTTTTTAATTATTGCTATCATTAACTATGATTTTAAATAAATTACAAAGTAAAATATTTTATTTTTAGGTAATGGTAGAACACGGTGAATTGGTCATGGGAATATTATGTAAGAAAACTTTAGGTACTTCAGCTGGATCTTTACTTCATATTTGTATGTTAGAATTGGGACATGAAGTGTGTGGTCGATTTTATGGTAATATTCAGACTGTGGTTAATAACTGGTTATTGTATGAAGGTAATTTATACTTTATTCTTAATAAATAAAGTTTATTAATATTATTATTATTACATTTTTTTAATGGAATTCTTATTTTCTATTCCAGGTCATTCTATTGGTATTGGGGATACTATTGCTGATCCACAGACATATTTAGAGATTCAAAAGGCAATTAAAAAAGCCAAAGAAGACGTTATTGAAGTTATACAGAAAGCTCATAATATGGATCTTGAGCCAACACCTGGTAATACTCTTCGTCAAACTTTTGAAAACCAAGTAAACAGAATTCTGAATGATGCTCGTGACAAAACTGGAGGTTCTGCTAAAAAATCTTTAACTGAATACAATAACCTCAAGGCTATGGTTGTGTCAGGTTCTAAAGGATCAAATATTAATATTTCCCAGGTATATTATTCTTATTTATATTTAGATTTTAGTCGTATTTAGTATGCATTATAGATTAATATAAATGCTTTTGTAGGTTATTGCTTGTGTAGGTCAACAAAATGTTGAAGGAAAACGTATACCATTTGGTTTTCGTAAACGAACATTACCACATTTTATTAAAGATGATTATGGTCCTGAATCAAGAGGGTTTGTTGAAAATTCATATCTTGCTGGATTAACACCTTCCGAGTTCTTCTTTCACGCCATGGGAGGGCGTGAAGGTCTAATTGATACTGCTGTCAAAACTGCTGAAACAGGTATTACTTTATTTTTTATTGTAACATCTATATTATAATTTAAATTATGTTATGTTAAATAAGATGTTTTTTTTTAGGTTATATTCAAAGACGTTTGATCAAAGCTATGGAATCTGTTATGGTCCACTATGATGGTACTGTTCGTAACTCTGTTGGTCAGTTGATTCAATTGCGTTATGGAGAAGATGGTCTTTGTGGAGAGGCAGTAGAATTCCAGAGTATTGCTACTATAGAACCATCGCACAAGAAATTTGAAAATGAATTTAAATTTGATGTTTCAAATGAAAGACATATGAGAAAAATATTTACTGAAGATGTATTAAAAGATCTGATGGGTAGTAATGATACTGTAGCTGAATTGGAAAAAGAATGGGAACAATTAAATAGTGATAGAGATACTCTTAGAGAAATATTTCCTTCAGGTGAAAGCAAGGTGGTATTACCTTGTAATTTGAAACGAATGATTTGGAATGTACAAAAAATTTTCCACATTAACAAACGAGGACCAACAGACTTGAATCCTGTAAAAGTAGTAAATGGTATGTTATAACACACACACACACACACACACACATATATATATATATATATATATAATATTTTTCTTTAGAAATTAAAATACAATTTGTAATAGTAAGAAAGATTTTACCAGCTTTTGATAACATAATATTTGCTAATAACATTTTATGTACATAAAAATCAATTTTTAAAATAAATTACTCAATATTTTGATGTATTTTATTTTGTTTGAAAATATTTTTTCCATCTATTTTCTTAGTATGCAAGTTTTAAATAGTTTTAAGATTAACTATAACTAATAATGATTTATAAAGCAGTCTTGTTTTATACATTTTACATGTAAATTAGAGCTAAACAATTTATAATAATTTATTTGGAAATTTTCGTTAACATTTAAAAAAAAGAATAGTTAACTTAAAGTGAATTAATTAATAATAATATCAAATTATGACTTTAATGTTAAAATAATATCTCATTTTTTCATTTTGAATTATGTTAATGGTATTTTTGCCTTGTTTTTACAGGAGTCAAGGAGCTTTTAGATAAATGTGTTATAGTAGCTGGTCAAGATCAGTTGAGCAGGCAAGCTAATAAAAATGCTACATTATTGTTTCAATGTTTAGTACGTTCCACTTTGTGCACTAAATTGGTATCTGAAAATTTTCGTTTATCTTCTGAAGCATTTGAATGGTTAGTTGGTGAAATTGAAAACAGATTCAAACAGGCCCAGGTGCGTACATTTTGATTAATAACAATAAAATATAATTTTGATAATTTTTATTTTGTAGGCACAACCTGGTGAAATGGTTGGAGCATTGGCTGCACAAAGTTTGGGAGAGCCTGCTACTCAAATGACATTGAATACTTTTCATTTTGCTGGTGTATCTTCTAAGAATGTAACTCTTGGAGTACCTAGATTGAAAGTAATTTATATATACAATATTGAATATACATAAATAATCACTATGTATTATACATCATACATAATAGTTGTTGTGTAATTTTTAGGAAATTATTAACATCAGTAAAAAACCCAAAGCACCATCACTAACTGTATTTTTGACTGGGGCAGCTGCGAGAGATGCAGAAAAGGCCAAAAATGTATTGTGTCGTCTTGAACATACAACTTTACGTAAAGTTACCGCAAACACAGCTATTTATTACGACCCTGATCCTCAAAATACAGTTATTAGAGAGGATCAGGAATTTGTAAATGTTTACTATGAAATGCCTGATTTTGACCCGACACGGATTTCCCCATGGTTGTTACGTATTGAATTGGATAGGAAAAGAATGACTGGTATTTAAAAAAAAAAAGTCTTAGAATATTTACAACAAAATGAAGACGTACTTATTTATATTTAATATTTAAGATAAAAAATTGACAATGGAAGCCATATCAGAAAAAATCAATGCTGGATTTGGAGATGATCTTAATTGTATATTCAATGATGACAATGCTGACAAGCTGATTTTACGTATTCGTATAATGAATGGCGAGGATGGAAAAATGAATGGCGGTGATGATGAAGATACTGTTGATAAAATGGAAGATGATATGTTCTTAAGATGTATTGAAGCAAACATGTTATCTGACATGACTTTACAAGTAAGTAAAACTATATATAAGAATAATTTATTTTAATTTATTTTTTATTTTTTATTTTCCTACAAATTAGGGAATTGATGCAATTGCAAAAGTGTATATGCATTTGCCTCAAACAGATTCCAAAAAAAGGATTGTCATAACTGATACTGGTGAATTTAAGGCAATCGCCGATTGGTTATTGGAAACTGACGGAACAAGTTTGATGAAAGTGTTAAGTGAAAGAGATGTTGATCCTGTGAGAACATTCTCAAATGACATTTGTGAAATATTTTCGGTTAAGTTTATACTTAAAATTATAATAAAGACATTGTTAATAATATGGTATTTAATTTCAGGTTTTGGGTATTGAAGCTGTACGGAAGTCTGTAGAAAAAGAAATGAACACTGTATTGCAATTCTACGGTCTTTATGTAAACTATCGTCATTTGGCATTGTTGTGTGATGTTATGACTGCAAAAGGTCATTTAATGGCTATTACTAGACATGGTATTAATAGACAAGATACTGGTGCATTAATGAGGTGAAATTGAACGTTGATTTATTTATATTATGTACCAGAAGAGGTCGAAATTATATGCTCTTAAAATCCACAAAAAAATGGATTAAATATATATTAAAAAAAAGTTAACATGATACAGGTGTTTAAAGTTTCTCTCTAATGGTGCTAATGTATTCAATACAATTATCTTAAATAATATACACAAAGTGACTTGAAAAAAATTACATATTACACAAAATTATTACTTTGTGTTTATCATTTTTGTAGTTTTAGAAAAATGTATTGAATAAGTTAAAGCCCTTATGTTTCTAAACATATTCTTGTGAATTTTAAGAGAAATAGATTTGGTGTCTATCCATCTGTAATAATTAATATTAACTAATAATATGCTATTTGTATTCAGATGTTCGTTTGAAGAAACAGTTGATGTATTGTTGGATGCCTCTTGTCATGCTGAAGTTGACCCAATGAGGGGAGTATCAGAGAATATTATTATGGGACAGTTGCCTAGAATGGGAACAGGTAAATTATTACTTTTTTATACAAAACAAGTTTTACTGTTGAAGAAATCCTCTTCCAGTCTTCTTCATTTGCTGTTATCTTCCCCTAGTCCACATTTTCTCGTTTTCTCCTAATATACTTGATAAGTCCTACTTACCTAATATAATCTTTCAAAATAAAACAAATTGTATTGAATGTGTTTGTTATAGGTTGTTTTGATTTACTTTTGGATGCTGAAAAAGCTAAAGACGGTATAGAAATACCAATGGATAATGGTTACATGGGTGTAGGTGGTGGTGGCATGTTCATGGGTGCTGGCACACCTTCTATGTCACCTGCTATGACCCCGTGGGATCAAACATCTACACCAATTTATCAAAATAACTGGTCTTCAAGTAGGGCACTTTTTACAAAGATAGTAAAATATACAAATTTTATTAATTTTTGGCTATTTCTTTAAAGGTTTAGAAGCTGGTATGACACCTGGTGGACCTGGGTTTTCACCTGCTGGTTCAAGTGAAACTAGTGGGTTATCACCATACTGGATGACAACTGGAGGAACACCTGGCAGTCCTGGATCACCAGGCATGGCTACTAGTCCATATGTGCCAAGTCCTAGTTCCATGTCACCAAACTATAATTTCCCAACCAGCCCACAGAACTTTGGAGCCTTGTCACCTTCTATGACTCCAACTAATTATTCACCAACAAGTCCACAATACTCTGCTACTCAACAAAACACTCCAAAATATTCATCTATGTCTCCCAGCTACAATTATTCCCCCACCAGCCCGTCGTACTCGCCTACTAGTCCTTCGTATTCTAACAATTCATATTCACCAACAAGTCCTTCGTATGTATTTAAATATTTTTAAAAAAATTAGTGACAAATGTAACAAATCTATTTATTTTTCAGGTACAGTCCAACGTCTCCGTCCTACAGTCCTACATCGCCTTCTTACAGCCCAACTTCTCCATCATACAGTCCAACATCTCCGTCATACAGTCCAACATCTCCATCGTAAGTTGAATTTTGATTCGGTATATTTTATTACAATTATAAATTTAAAATTAAATATTCCATTTTTCATTTGCAGGTACAGTCCTACAAGTCCTTCATACAGCCCAACATCCCCGTCTTACAGTCCAACATCTCCATCATATAGCCCAACTTCCCCATCGTAAGTATTTATAATTTATGTACACAGTTCAAACTAAAGTATGTTAAAATATTGAACACAGCAACATAATTATGTTGTTCAAAAGCAGAAAATTAAAATTAATCTTAATTTTGATACGCTAACTTTTATTATTTTGAAACTAATACATTTTATTAAAGTAGATTTTAGATTTTGAGCGTAAATATTAATGCATTGTTATACCCCAGATTTTTCAATTGATGGAAGGGACAAGCTATAAAAACTAAAAAAAAAAAAAATATAATAAAGTAGTGTACTGTATTAATATATTCTTTTTTGTATAATCCTTAAATTCACACTTTGGTGGAAATCTTAAAAATTATGGCATTTCAAAACAGGTTTAACTTCACTTCACTCAGAATTGTATTTCGACATCAATGATTAATCATTCTGTACAGTTATAAATTAAATAACTATATATTCTACCTAACTTACTCTCCTTCTATAATAGTTGAACATCCATTAGTGGTATTAGCTTTTGATTTGTTATGTTTATTGTTTATTACTTACATAGGTACAGCCCAACCTCGCCGTCGTACAGTCCGACTTCTCCATCTTACAGTCCAAGTTCTCCTCAATATACGACATCTTCACCATCGTACACACCAAGTGCTTCATCGGGTGGCAGCAATTACAAATATTCGCCAACATCGCCATCAGTTGTTAGCCCCACTTACTCTCCTACCAGTCCAATGTATTCACCTTCGAGTGCTTCATATTCTCCATCGTCTCTACAGCACACACCAAATGCTGGTGTTACACAGTACAATCAAACATACAGTCCAAGTTCACCAATTTATTCCCCTACCAGTTTTTCATTAGCTGCTAGTCCAAGGTAAGAAAAATAATTTTAAATCTGTCAAACATTGTTGTCTATAATTGATTTATTTTAGGTACTCTCCAACATCACCTACGTTTTCGCCTGGAGTTGGTAGTCCAAATTATTCTCCATCTTCACCAAGTTATTCTCCAACATCTCCAAATTTTACTGGATCAGATGAAAATTAAAATTAATCTCTTTTTTACATTTTGCCTTATTTTTTTGTAATGGAACAGGGTATACAATTGTTGAAATGTGTTAAAACAGATTTAAATTACCTTTCATATTTTTTTATAATAATTTATTTTTATATACATTATTTATAAAACTGAAAATAAAGGTATATAATTTTATAAAGTTATTATATATAAAATAAAATAATTTAGTATGTATAAAATACATATTTTGACTTCTATTATGAATTTATTGTATAAGACTGCAAGTTTTGTTTCAATGAATTATAATAATTTGTTATACAAATATATATATTTATATAAAGATTGTTTCATTTTATTTATGAAAAAAAAAAAAAAACCTAAATTTGTATAAACACAAAATATACTTACATTTTAAATTCTGAGCAGAGCTAGGAATGTATTGGTTTTACAATTGATGTTCTTTTTTTTTTATATTTATATTGTGAACAACTTTTCTATTAGCAATTTTGTTTTTCTGATTTTCCATTATAAGCACTTTTTCTTAAAGGAAATCTGATTGGGGTGTTACTTTAGGAAGGTCATTCTTTTATTTTCCCAGCTGTTTTTATAATAAATAGGAATAAACTGGATAATAAGTACAAATATTATTTAAGAAAATATATAATGCATTATGCATATATAATTATTTTACCATAATATGACATTATATATTGTTGACAAAACAACACTATAACCGAACTCTGCTCAGAATCGTTTTTCGTTAGCAATAGTTAATCATTGCGTACAGATATACATTAAATTTCTTCTCTATCTTTCCAACTTCTTACCTACAATGGTGGCCCACCCATCGTGCGAAAAATATGTCTATATTTTTTCACTTTTGGTTTTCATAATATTATTGCTAATATTAAAATAAATACATCCCTTTTAAGCAATACAGAAAATAATTGGTATGGTTTAATTCAATTATAATTATTATTACTTGGTAATAATTTTTATTAAGCCATATAACTTCAGACCTAGTTTAATTAAAAATAATTAACCCTTGTGTGTTTGTCACGTTTTGGTGTACATTTTTATCAATAATTAGGGTTTCTAAATGTAATACTAAAATTATTGACTTGTAAAAATATTGATTTTCTTGTTAGTAATAGATAAACAGTTTAATGGTATAAGTTAGATATTATTATTTCATTGAACCTCGGCTAAAAGTATATTAACTTCAACGTGATTGTTACACTATAGAAAATAATAATTAAATTGTATGCTTGTAAGAGTTTCCATGGTAACCGATGTTTGTAAACATCATAACTTATACTTCAGTTTGGGTTAAAGTGATCATTAGATGTGTATTAAAATGGGATGTTTCTGTTGCAAATTTGAAGCAACCAAACCACCAAAAAAATTAGTGTATTCATGGTAAATATATTTCTTAGTCATATTATAATACCTACATTATCTAAACTAATAATATCATGGTTAGGGTGGAACGTAAACATTTGGATCCTGCGGATTATGTTATTGAAAATTTAAATGGGGGTATGGCTTACAAACCACCAGGCTCAGTTTCTGGTCAACAGTTTGTTATTCGTAATTGCCAAGGTTCTAATATTTACCTGCTGGACCATGCTGGCTCTATAACTGTGGATGATTGTCAAAGATGTACAATTGTATTGGGACCAACCAAACAAAGGTAATTATTATAAATCTAATCTAATTGGTTTTCAAATTTAAATATTACACACATTAATCTTATTATTTTATTCTTGTTTAACTAAGTGTATTCATTATGGTATGTACAGAATTTAATTTAGTTGTAACCTAGTGCAAATTATTCATATCTATTTCATAAAATGTTACACTTTTCATTCACATACTAAGTAGATAACTCCTAACATTCACATAAGTACTAAGTATGAAGAATATTAAATCTAGTGTAAAACATTAAATTTCCCAATCTAATGGTGACTTTATGTGGGTAATCTAAACATTTTAGTTTAGTTTATTTTGAATTGTAAAATGACCATTCCAAATCGTACTTTAAAAGCATACTCGAAAAAGGTTATATTAAAAACTCTTAAAAGTTTCTTAAACTATATATTTATTTGAAACTTGCTACAATGGCTATTGTTATCTACGTCTTATTTCCACAATTTTATTTGAATATTACAAGTTGAAATATATCTTATCACTATTAAAATGCAAAAAAATAAATGGTTGTTTATCTATACTGATGACACATGTAAAATATTTTAAATATATAAATTGACTTTAAAAAGTAATATCTTATATCAATATATTTTAGACAATAAATAATAACCAAATAATTTATATTTCTTAACATACTATGTCTAATAATAACCCATTTTAAATAATTTCTTCTATTAAAATAAATTATTTCTATGTAAAACGACCTAATCATATACATATTTTTCTATGTATTCCTTCATTTAATTTTTTATATTCAGTCACTTTTTACATTTTGACTCTGATATGATGAATTTTTAATTTGAAACCAGTCGTATGATACACTTATCATAATATTCCAGGCAACGTATTTATTTATGAATATTAACCATTTTAATAATTTTGTTTTTACTTTATTATTTCATTATTTATTCTTAAATGTTTTTTTTTTAAACTAAATTATTGTATAGGTATTATATCTTCTAATATAGGTATGTTTATATTCCAGTGTGTTTATAAGAGATACAACAAATACGACAGTGGTAGTGGCCTGCAGCCAGTTTAGAGTACGTGACTGTTCATCCTTAAAAATTTCACTGTTTTGCTCGACTCAACCTGTGATTGAGTCCAGTCGGGAATTGCAATTTAGTTGCTATCAATTATATTATAATCAATTGTCTGGTAGAATATTTGGATTTTTGATCGTCTTTTCTATTTTCATTGCAATACATAAAATGGATGTTATTTTTTAGATCAATTTATTAAAGCTAATCTTAACATATGGAACAACAACTGGAGAACAGTTTATGATTATACATGGAATGAAGGTGACAATTGGATCGTAAACGAAGAACCCATTGCTATTGAGCTACCTGAAGAATTACACAAGTAGGGATATTCATCGATGGTTAGATGGGAAAAAATGTAGCCATTAAATATTCATTAATAAGTATGAAATTTGTTTATTTCTTTTTAGGTATGGTATCACAAGTGAATTGAAAAAATCACTAGTACCACTCACAAAATGTGATCAACAGTTAGGGGAAAATTGTTTTGTTGCATTTCAATGTGAAACTGAAGCCGCACAATTTGTACAAGCTTTATATTCACATGTAATATATATTGTATTTCAGTACTAATTTATTAAGAATAATATTTTTAATATGTTTATTGAGAAAAAATAATATAGGTGACTATTTCAATTGTTAGGTACTTTTTAATATTTTTCCAAACATACCCATTCAAAAATTATCTTTGTTTCTTTTCATTTGTGTCCAAGTAAATTGATGTTAATGGTATCACGAGGTTCTTTCAAAATGAAATCTAAGCAAAGTACTAAAAAATAGCCCCAAAAATGACCTCCACTCCTTTTCACACATTTCCAGGGCTAAGTGTTATTCACCAAGCTACCTACTGATTTATGCAATACACAGTGACTATCACAATTCGACATCTAGGTTTTATTAATAAATAATATATTGTGGAAAATTAGTGTGTTTTAAAACGAGTGTTTTATTTAAAGACTAAATTGAATTTAATATAATATGTGTAAACATATATTTATAAGTACCCAGCTAAAATATTGTATAGGTATTAGGTATAACTAAATCATTTTGTTTTTAATTGTATACCTATGTATATTATTATATTATTTAAAATTAAAAGATTTGTTCTTTGAAGAGATACTTAACTCATATGCATTTATTTTGATCTCATTTGTTTAGACAAGGTAATCATTTGATTATTTATTTTTATCTGACAATGGAACATATAATTTTCATTTATTAACTTTTCAATGAGATATTTAGTTTAAATGTTTATCTACATATGCTTTTATAATAATATACTCTATTGAATTTGTTATATAGGACACAGGCTTATGGCTGATTAAATGCAATCACTGCAGTGATAAAGAGGTTCAGGTGTTTCAAGAACGAACAAAATTCTTTGGAAATAAAAAAGTTGATTCAATAATCGGTCTAAAAATACAGGGTACACATGCTATAAACAAATGTTCAGCAGTAAGTATCAAAAGATTTATGGATATTATTTCTATTGTTAGTTATTATCTAATATGGTTGATCACCAACTTTGTGTAGGCATTAATGAACACTATTAAATTACTCATTAATTTTTCATATCATAATACTATTCAATTGTTTAGCATTTTCTAAACTTTTTAGAGCACTGTGGCTTTTTCAGGATCAAATTTAGCAACAACGCCTTAAGTACTATGTACATTGATTAACACATATAAACACACATACATTTATTACACTTAAAAATATGATTAAATATTATAAGACAGAAAAACTAATGGTGAAAAAGAACTCTGATGTGATGTATGTGGCAAATTGAAATCAACAAAAAGAAATTTTATTATTTGGTATAGTTTTTTTTTTCCATAATAGCCCTGAAATGGGCTTGTGGTGTACAAATTGGTAATCACTGGTATAATTTAGTATGGTTTATTGTTAGTTTTAACATCGTTGATGGTTGTTTACTGAGGTATTTAAAAATATGTTTGTTATAATAGACTGTTATAAAATTGAATGTCTGTGACTATTGGGTTTATGTAAAAATTTGATCCAAGTTTGTGCTGACACAATTGAACAAAACATATTAAAAAATATCCTATACAATTTAAATAGAAATACTACATTTATTTGATGGAATATTTAAATATCGCATACCTACCTAAATGTATTTTTATTATTTTTTTTTTTTTTTGATAACCTATCTACCCATAATAACATTAGTTTTTATTTTATTCCATACTATTTGTTTTGTTCCTTTTAGATTTTAGCCAATGATTTCCCTCAGTTCACTGCAATGATCAGTAATTCGAAAGCTGAAGCTGAAGAACTAATTAAAATGTTTTTCTGCTTAACTGAAGATGATTTTCAGCAATAAATTATTTTACATAACATCAATTAATGTATTATTAATTCAACAGAATATAAGTATCTTTTATAGTAAAATTACTATTAAATGATAAAAAAAAAGTAACAATTTTAAATTTATAATTAAATTTTCAATTTATCACAAATTAGAAATAATTTAAACTAGTATTAATTATTTAATATTTATCATAACCGATATTATTTGTACAATTTATATGATTATTTCATTGTTATGTAATAATATTTAATATGCCTATATAATTGTCCATCAATTTAAAATTGGTAAATTTGTATATTTTTTTTAATCTATCTGTAGTTTGAGGGTCTCACATTTTTATTTTATGTGTAAATAGTGCAATTTTATATTTTGATAAGCTATATGTTTATTATTTTACTAATTTGCATTTATTTATTTACTAGGTAATATCAATTATTACAAAAAAATAGGTAGTGTATGATGGTTACAGAATGGGAAAATGCCATTTATTAATAATTTTTTATTCCATATTTTTAAAACTTTTAAGTTCAAACTATGTATTGGTAAACTCGGATTATTCAGTTTTTGCTTTAACTATCGATAGATTAAATTAAATATTAATAAGAAAATAAATTGTTTAAAAAATTTAAACTAACACCTAACGGGTCTCAAATTTACAAATATTCACATAGAAAAGAGTTCTTAAGATGATAAGTTTTTTTTTTTAATTTTTATTAGCAATGGTATAGAAATGTTATTATTAAAAATGTGTTATTTTATTGCACATTACAATATGTACTAAATTCTCTCTTTTTTTTTTTTTTTAAATAAATTCAATATTAATTAAAATATTAATATTATTTTGTTTTCAAAATATATTTGTGATGTTATGTTATTTTATATTATTGTTTTTCACCAGACATATTTTGCATCATATAATAATTTTAATAAATACAACAAAATATAAGAATACAAATGGTTTGGATAAAATATTATTTTAAGACCTTTCAGTTAAAAAAAAAAAAACAAATAAATTATGTATGGGGTTTTTCAGTATTTCATTTGCCATTTATAAAATTATGCGTATTAATATAAATTTAATAATTAGAGAGGTAAGTTAACTTTATATTTTACCAAAATCACTTGGCTGTTATAATTACATATAGATATAGATACATCCCATGATTTGTTTTATAACAATTCTGTAGTTTTTTTTTGTCATGCATGTTGTACCAAAATTGAGTTTTGTCTTTCACATAATATTTTTGAACTTTGTTACATTATTATATTAACTTATTTTGACAATTGTAAAAAATAATATTATTTTTAAATAATAAAATGTATGTTTTTCAATATTTGTACTTAAACTATAAATATTTTCTTTTAGTTTTTGTAAATAACTTAAAACCATTAATATTGATAAATACAGCTTAACCACCAGTATAACTTTTATGTTTTCCTCTATAAATATTTAAACAGGAAGTTAAATTCATAAATTTATAATTGAATAATGAAGGAAAAAAAATCAACTGGCATGATGCACATGTGGGACATGTGCACATGAAGGGACATGCATATGGATGAGATTTAATGTTTTCATATTTTATAAATAGCATACTGAATAGATAGCATAAACTTGAAACTCAGTTTGGCAATGAATCAATTTTTTGAATTTATTCTTTTTAGAAAAAACAAATAAGGTTTTCCATTTAAATTATTCTATACTGAAAAATAAGGTATACATGTAGTTACTAGTCCATGCAAATTGTATAGGGTACCAATCAAAACATTTAAAATATTGGAAAAAAAATCATTAGAAATTGGGTTTGAAACCTTGGATCTCTAGGTAAATAACAGGTAATAGGATTACTGGACTATGACAAACATACTAAAGTAATTAGCAATATTAAATTACTTAACATAACACACATAAAATCAAAACTTCAAAAGACTATAATTTCAAAACTAAGTCAATCCACTTAATTCTGACTTCGCCATCGTTCTTAACTTGGTAATATACATAGGTCCAAACAAAATAAAAATTGAAAAATTTGCATGGATCAGTAACTAGATTGGTTCAAAAATAATTAAATACTAAAATAACATTTTGTAATTTTAGAAGAATATTACTATGGTTGTAGTTAGCATTCTAGTGTTTGTAATTTGCACCAAATTAACTAATGATATTATGAAACAAAATTTAAATACATTGAAGATTTTGGAACTTAGAGAAATAAAAAACATTGTTTTAATGCCAAAATGATTGTTGTTCGTAAATAAACATTATGATTATATTATAAATTATAAATAAACAATAACCACAACGTAATTTTTTTAAAAAAAAAACAAACAATAACAAAATAAAAACAAGTTGGACCTATGAAATGGGAATGTAATTTTAAAGAAATGTATGGTAAAAAGCAAAAACCAAGAGGAAACAAAATGCTGCCATAACTCCAAACAGTATGAGTTTGTGTTGTCTAGAACGTACAATTATGGCATTGATCATTCGGGTGCTTCTGCCGAGGTCTGCATTTGCATCTCTGAGCTGCAACATAAATTAAATATGATCAATCAATTATTAGTGGATCAATTTTTAAAAAAAAACATACTCTATTAAATGAGTTTTGCATAGTTTCTCGTTGACGATTTAAATCTGTCAATATTTGTGAACCAATCTCCTCAGTCTCCACAGCAATACGATAAGTGTTATCTAATTGTATTCCAGATCGATTTAAACGCTCAGATGTATATAATAACCGCTGTTTTTGTTCAGAAGTCACATCTTCACTTTCAGCAAAATTATTATCCTCTTCTACAATAATGAAACATATACATTAGTAAGACACGAGTAATATTGTAAACCCAATAAAATATTAATATAATAATACCCAAATCAATGTTGACTGTACATTTCGCTCGGGCAAAGTCTTTGGCCAATCTGTGTAGTTCAGCCCTGTAACTGGCTACTCGATTGTGAAGCTTGGCGCGGACAGAAACATCAGATTCTTTAACCGACAGGTCCATTTGTTCCAGCTTGAAATTTCAAAACATTCATCATTTGAGTTTTAAAAAAACCACAAAATAATAAGTGAATGTTTGTGACTAGTACATACCAAATCGTGTACCTCATCGAGATTGCGTTCGATCTCTTTGACATAATCATTCCTGTCGTCTAAGCGAATGAAAAATAGTAGACACGCCTAATTAGTCACTGGGTATCAACATATGGATGTACACGTTTTATTACTCACTGCCGGCTGTAATATGACTGAGTCTGCTGATTTTCGATGTGATCTCTGCGCTGGTCACACCAAATTGCTGTTCGTAGTCGGCTAACAATTTGCTGAAATTAGTGTCAAACGGGTTAAAAATGGGCCCGACTATATTCTCAGATGAATGATGAGCTATAAAAGATAAACTTACTTTTCCATTTTTACAGGACATTAAGTACTTAATAACAGCTGTACGTGTAGACTAAATCAATGGAATAGCTGACTGGGAAGTGTATAAACACGTATTAGACGGCGAAAAACTTGGTATGTTGACACTTCGAATAATCTGTTGTAATATTATCTACCCAGGTAATAGGCAGCAGAAAATAAAAGAAACGAAATAATATCATATCGTAAAATGTACTATAGAATTATTAAATTATGATTGTATTTTCGAGCTTTCTCTTATCTGTTTTTAATGTACAAAATGACGTCATCAATCATATCACATACCACATACGTCTTGTTATCATGAATTCTCTTTAGAACAAATGGTTTTTGGACGAAAAATTCATCGGATAAACTATTTATTGGGACATTCCGTATACAATCTGTCAAAAAAAAAAAAAAAATTAATGATCACTTAGTAGTTAGTACTTTTATTAAATATATTTACTACGATTATATTATTATTAATTTCCAAAATCTAATTATTGACCTAGTAAAAATGTTCGAAAATTTGACATAAGTTCACCATAGATTGTACTTCGTGGTTAAAAAAAAGTTGAACGTAATGTACGTTATTATTTGTTTCATTAGCATTTAAAAGATCAAATTTTGTATATTATTCTACCTTCCAAATCCTCTAGTACCTATATAGTGACGAATCTAAGGGGGCGATTGATCAAATAAACTCTCAACCTCGTCTATTACGATATCGCTTTTTGTCTTGTAACTTGTTCCTCCAAACTTATACCTACTCTAAATGATGCGCATAGAACACAAGTGGTATACGCATTGATTATAGAATAGAATAGTCTATTCACTTATCAATGGTATAAGTGACATTTTTAAAAAATTCGAGTTAAATGCACAGCTGAACTAACCCGAACTACAAATATTCCATTTAATTTTGTGGTAAAGAAATATAAATAAATTTTTCGTCATGCGCTGCGATCTATTATTAAATACTAAAATAGTCTTCAAATTACGAACTAAGATATATCTTAGTTCGTGCTTCAAATTAAAATGACTTAATAGATTATTTTGTCTTACTTTTGGAAATTAACGACTAACGGCAATATACATAAGAAATATTATTGATAACAAAAAAGTATTTGAGAATATTTAGAAATATAACTAAGTTATACAGACTTAAAATATATAAAATTGATAAGTGAAGCTTTAAAATCAATATCAATGCTAAAACTATTTTCATTACGCAGTATTCTGTGAAGAGGGGGATTATGCCCACAAGACGCAGAATGAGTGGGGACGTGAAATAATTGGTGGTTTCTAGTACCATATGATGGGATGCGAAAATAAATGGCCAGCAGATCAGGTACATCCAATGAGCCATTTAAAAGGGAGGCGATTAAGGCCAAATCAGCATCCAGTCGTCGAGAAAAAAGTAGAGGTATTTTTAAGGTGTTTAGAATCAGGGAATAATCGTGAGGAGGATGATCTATCTTGAGTATATACGCGGCGTAGGACAAGAACCTATGTTGAACACGCTCTAATCTTAATTGGTCCTTGGCCAGGTAAGGAGACCAGACAACTATCCCGTATTCGAAGATACGAGCGTACTAAGGGAAAGTAGAGGATGCGAAGGCATTTAAGACAGGCAAAAGACACCGTATTTCGTTTAACGAACCCTAACACATTTAGAGCTCTTCCAACTATAGTAGTTACATGCTATTCAAAATTTAAAGAAGGCGTAAGGAGGATTCCAAGGTCTTTTACACTATAAGCCCGCTTGAGTAAAGTACTTATTAAGGAGATAACTATAAAATATAGGGGAGCGGTTCCTCAAAAATATCATAGTATTACATTTATCGAGGTTAAGAGTTAAACCAAGACGTTTAACCCAAGAGCAAAAAATATCGAGTTCAGACTGGAGTAGAAGCAATCCGCTGAATAGTTAATTTTCAAGTATATTTTTGTACCATCAGCCAACAGGAGGAATTCTGCTTTAGTTATGCATTTACCGATTGAGTTTACAAAGAGAATAAATAGTTGAAGGCTAAGATGACCTTGAGGAACTCCAGAGGTAACAGGGAACGGTTTACGATTTCTTACGACTTTCATTCGAGATACAATATAAGAGTTTGTAACGTCCAAAAACGACCATTTTCCGTTATCAAAGGACAAGCATACCTACAATCGATATGGTTAATCGATTACGTCCGCGTCGACGGATATGTTGTCATGATGAACAATAATCCCCCCCCCCCTCCCGCGCAAAGGTTTATGCGATCGCAATCTTTCGCCATTCGCATTAATATTATATTCCCGACTACGGGTTAATGGCCAATCAGATCACGTTTCCCCTTATCGCCAAAAACGTCGGCCCGCGGCGACGTGTGCCACGAACGTCTCCGCGCTCCGCTGCCTAGTTTTCGTTCTTTTGTTTGTTCCTTTCCTTCTTCGCGTCTACGCCTCGGCTCGAGACTTTGTTACCGGACGGTCTTTCGATACAGTTTTTATACTAAAACACTCCCGTATTGCACGGATTCACATATTTTGCCATTAAGAAAAGATCGTGTATCTTGGCACGTTTCCTGATGGCGCCTCAAACGAACCGATGACGCGAGTCCCGATCTGGTCCGCTGGGCGGACATCTTTGAGCGAGATAAATGGTAATATACATATGATCTAACAATTGGCCGATACTCCGTTAGTTAGTTTTAAGGTTTTAAGAATTAAGGTTATTAAATACAAATAAATTTAAACTTGATTTTCTCGAAATCAATAAAATATCACTTATTTGCACCCCTCGTGTTCTAGGCGCCTCATATATACCCTATTTTACTTTTACTTATTTGTATTATCTGTCCCTTATGTGCTACTCTCCGCACTCAAGCCTATTGCTTATATAAAGGTTTTTTTTTTTTTTTTGCCCTTAGTTGGTTTTTCTTTTCTTTTCGTTGATCGCGTTTTCAATTGCCCTACAATAAAGTCAAGTGTCCGGTGCCGGTCGCAACGGCCGTTCGCCAAGAACATCGCGGCGACAATGACGTACGATGTCCAATCGTAACGTCGGTTACCATCAATCTCAAAGTGACTCGGTAAACAGACACTACTTAAATAACGAAATAAAAACGACCGCGGTACACGCTATTATTAATTGTATTCAGTCGCTCGCAATATGAGCGGTTTTTTTTTTTCTTGTTCTACGTCGGTTTTACAGGCGGTCGGCTATTAGGTCCGCAATAGTTGTAATTGTAATTTTTTCTTTTTCATGGAGTAAACGGCTCGAATGACCGTTCGAGCCACTCCGTCAATCGCGTCGCGTTGGCGACCCCCGACGACGGGCTCTCGCCAAACATCGCGTAACTCTTAACCGCGTTCACTAATAATCAAATTCGTATACGGATCAACCCGTTTCGCCCTCCAGACATTTCGTCTCGAACGTATTTCATTGTACATCACAGTTTGTCGGTACAACCGTTGATTATAAATTACAGTATGGCGTAGTCATTGCTCACTGGGGCGGGTTTTCGACCGATGCTAAACGAAATTCCCGATAGATGGCGATAAGATAACCGCGAGATATCAATTAATCGGTTGGGTTATTTTGGCCGCCGTACGCCGTGGAAGCAGCCGGGGGGGGCATGGGCGAGCGTAAAACGAATTTACACAGCTTATCCGTACATACGAATACGGTGTAGGCACGCCGCGGAACGATTTTTCTCTCGAACTTCGTTTAGAGATTATCGGCGAAATCTTTGACACGTCCGGTTTTTCCGTAACGCGCATTAAGAGAACACGTTTTCTTTTCGTTCCCCCCTCCCCCCTCGTAAACCAGTTTTAATGATGATACACAAAGGAGGTATTTGGGTATTTTTATTTTAACTGAATATTTTAAGACTTTCGTATTTTTTCAATCGAAATCGCCAGGCAGTCGATAGGCAATCGCAATCCCCTTTAGAGAGGGGGTGGGTTAGGAGTCTCTGGATAAAAATGGGGTGCCATGCGTTCATGCAAAAAAAAAAAAAAAATAATAAAAATATTTAATCAAAAATTCCCAACCTGTCATAAAATACAAATTCAAATTAAAACGACGACTTAATACCTGTATTAACAATAAATAAAAATAACAATATACTGTAATAATATTAATGAACGGAGTATTATGAACTACAAAGATTTTTTATTTATTAATAAATCGTACTTTTTTTTTTAAAAAAATATTTATGGTTGTAACGATTTTGTATACTAAATATATTTATACATAATAAAATATAAATAAAGTTCGTGCAATATATTATTGTGAACAACTTATCATTGTTTATGGAAAGCCACCCTAAGTAAGTCTAAAAACTATAGACTACAAGAGCAATCAGCATGTTTTTGTGAAAATTATGTACCTAGATTTAGTATCCTGAAATAAAATTGTAATAAAAAAAGGCACCCGTCGCATGATTCTGCCCCGGGCATCAAAATATCTTTGAACTGGCCTGGACAACCGAGTTCTCATAATCGGGTGTTGTATAGATACCGGTATCTATAATAATAACGATTCCGTTTTTCCGATGACACGATAAAACGGGTCGTATTTGGAGAATACGACAATATTTCGAGCACTGCCGATATCGTTTTAAAGATTTGTCATGTCAAAAGAAAATTTGATTTATCACGCAAATTATTATTAATTATTTTAATCCCCTCGTTTGTGATACCGTCGAAAACATCTTACATAGGTACCGAGTGACAATTTATTGTCTTAATCACTTCAATATTATTAATTCGATATTTTTACGGACCAAAACTCTAAAATTCTAAATTTTACCAACCGGTACGGGCGCAAAAGCTTATGCTACGAGTCCAGTCCATTTCGAAAACTGCTTAAACTACATACAGGTTGTCCTACAAAGATATACTCATTCTAATATTACCGGAGATAATCAAGATATCACAATCATATTCTGTTTTTTTTTTTTTTTTTTTATATTACTCACTGAAATAAAGACTACAATAATATTTATATTGTAGTTCGTTTATTTCCAGACGAAATAAGTCTACGAGCAACGGTCGAGCTTTTATATTGTTTTTTTTTTCTACGTGCCGAATGGTAAAAATCCAGATTTGCAACGGATCGAGCGGACAAAACATAATAATGATTAGGGGGTGGATTATAATGCAAATTTCATTTTTTCCTGATTATTCTAAAGCAATGCTTTCCGGGCACAAAAATCGTTTCGTATTTCAATGTATTAAAATATACAACTTTTATGTATCATTATTTGACATTTTAAGGCATTTTTTCTTCTTTTTACAAACTTTATAGCGTTATCAGCAGAAAATTTGATACAATTTATTTTGATTTTTAAACAATGGAAAAAAAACAATTCATATTCGTATTTATAAAATGTATTATAGATTTAGTTATCGTACCAGATAATGTCCGGTTGCAACGAAGAAAACTATATGCTATTTATCGAGTTGCATAATATTGCGTCATATTGCACTATTCGCACTGTTGTGTTTAGTACATTTTGTATATACCTACCTAATAAAATAAGTTTTTTTTCAACATTTAAAATAATTTTTAGAGCTTTTTTTAAGACCTTTTTGTTTGTTTTTAGAGTATTAAATTGTTTTTTTTTTTTAATGCATTTAAATTCGCACATTAATAATAATATCCGGTATGTACGTTTTTGGGCCGTTCCAAACATTATATATATCCTAAACCTACCCACATCATTAGTAGGCATTAAGCATTCTACAACTAATACATTTAAATTTCGATTTACGAGAAGAAAATATTTTTAAACTGTTATTTATATGTACGATTTGTGTTTCAGATTTGGCATCAATTTCCCGGTTCACGGTATATCCAAATTTTGTTACACACAGGGTAAGTCAATATAATATAATAATACCGTACATTTTAAGGGTAAAACAATGTAGTAATGGTTAGTTCGTTTTTTAAGACGAAAGCAGCTAATACCTATAGTGTCAGTGATTTAATCAAAATATTGGGTAGATCAATATATATAGATCACAGGGGATAAGAGGTACAAGAGGGCACCGAAGCTCCCATCAGTATAATATGCAGATAGGTATACTTTAAAAATAGGAATCGTACTAAATTATACGGGTTTTTATATCAAATAAATACGTTTCTAAACGCGATTAAGGGCCGTTCTCACCAACGTAAAAAAAAGGCGTTTATCCGATTCTTATACTGAGTTTATGGCTGGTAACCGACCACGACTAGTCGATTATCTTATAAACTTTATTTAAAACCATTGTTTACGTTAGTGAGAACGGGCCTAAGTTGTTCGTTTGTCGATAACCCGAAATTATAACAATACGATACCTCTGAGCCGTGAAGTACCAACATATTATTATAAATCGTGTTTGTCTTCAAAAAAGAGGAGCTTAAAATCAAGTCTATAATATTATGCAGAATCGAATACGGGATGTGCATAATATATCAATGTATTTCATATTAAAATAATATAATAACAATACCTGTACCTAGTTACTGTATTATTACCCCTTATCACAATATTCTGATAATATAATACTCAAAGTTATTGCGCTCATCGTATAAAATATACACACTATAATAATAATAATAATAATAATACTACACACTAGCCGTTATCGAATTACTAGTACGTATAATGTATACGCGCGATCGCTTGGCTATGTAAGATAATATGACATTTTAAAATGGGTAGTCGTGGATTAGGATGTATTGATAATATTATTATTGCGACTCGATATTATTTACGTTTTTGTAAAAAATATTATAATACTTGATACAAGCAAATTCACGAACAGTTATAGTTGTATACGTTTTATACATGTAGGTAATTATCCGACCCTGGGTACTATCTAGCTATAGTGGTTAATCGTTATTATTAGTTTGTTTTGTGGTATCGCGCATCAAGTTGGTTCGATTTTCAAACAAGTGCTAACAATATATATTATTTTATACTTACGCAAATTCGATTTATTTCGAAAGTTTTTGATTTTGCTTTTCCTAAAATATTAAATTTTATGACTGCGATATAATAGTACAGCGGTTCTCAACCTTTTTTGTATGGCGACACTCTAATTTTGATCCATAAAAATGGCGACACACTTAATAAAAATAATGAATTTTTGAAAAAGTAAAATTTACAAATCTTTGTAAATTAATACATTTGTATGTTAGCATTTTAATAATAAAAAAAAAAAAACTAACATTTTAAATATACTTAATTCAAATTTAAACAGTTCGAAGAAAGTATTTATACAAAAGTATTAAAAAAAATAGTATTAGAAAATAAAGGAAATTAGTGCGATACCTGTGATTGGCGAACTGAACATAAGTCTTCGATTCGTGGGCGAATGGTTGACAAACTTACGCGTAATTCACTTTCAATATCTTTAAGCGTAGACCTTTTTTTTTGTTTTCGTTATTTCCAATGTCGAAAATGCTGATTCACACAAGTAGGATGTTGAAAAAGGAAACAAAATTTGCAATGCTTTTTTTTGCTCACTCCGGCGTATTTGTTTTGCAAAGAAATCCAAAATGAATCATTTTCAGACATATAACATTTAGATTTTAATGTTGTATTTGATATTTCTAACAAATGTTCTTTTTCCGTAGAAGTTAAGTTTGCATTTTTAATATTTTCTTCTCCACACGGACCATTTAATGAAACTACCCACTGTATATCAGTCGTTGAAAGTGATGGAAAATAATTCTTTAAATTTCGAGAAAGTGTCAACAAATGTTCGCATATTATATTTTTCAATTCCATTTTTTAATTATCCATTTTTAAATGCATTATTGATTCTTCGACTGAAGAAAAGCATGAAAAATCATCTTTTTGTATGTATGATAACCATAAATTAATTTTTTTTTAAAAAACTTTCCATCTTATCACTTGTAGAAATTATAGTTTCTTTACAACCTTGCATACTCGAATTTAAAATATTCAGTTTTTGAAAAATATCAGCAAGGTAAGCTAATTTAGCACACCACATTTCATCATCAATTTTATTTGCATAATTATTTATGTTTCCAGATTCAAAAAAAATTTGTAATTGATCTTGAAGGTCTAGTACACGATTTAATATTTTATCTCAGTAGTATGAAAAGGTATGTTCTACCCCAGGATCAGGATCCTCCTCCCCCGCACCTTCCTCCTCATTTGTCCACCACGTACTCGACGTATTTAGACCACGCCCACTTTTTTTTTTTTTTCATTATCAGTTATCAGTTATCATTATCAGTTACCACTAACATTATCACATATAGGTACTCGAAAACAATAATTATCAAATATTATTTTTATTATTGTCCGTGTCTTCGAACGTCGAGTCGGTATATAATATAATACATACCGGATGTTTTCATCGGCCGGTCGCCGAGTGTTATTGTCGCGTAT